AACGATTATATCTACTTAGAATAAGTCTGGGATTTTATATGGAGCTAAAACTTGCAATTGGCTAGCTAAATGAGCTTTAAACTATTGTTTTTTTTGTGGCTTTTAAATAAACAACATCGATAATGGTAAGTTAGGAAGCAATTTCAATGGTATGCGGGTTATACCTATCAACCGATACTTTGACCGACCGCAAAAGCCTTCCAAGGCTGAAAAACAATGACAATTTTGATTTGTTCATCTGCTCATTCAATTTACAGAATCTTTTTCAAGTGTCCTGTCTAGTCTCCCTGATTTTGTCCATTACGAAGACGAAAAGCTGTCCTGTCCTGTTCGAAAGTGAAATTTTCAGACGCTCTTATGCCTGTCCAGTCTCAAATATTTGAGACTGGACCAACTACTCCAAACATGTTCAAGATATTATTTCTTAGGTCGAACTTTCATGTTTATGAGCAATCTTCTGTGGAGCCACATCAAACGCTTTCAACTGGTTCATCGGTCTGAGTTTCCCCAACTTCAGATTCAGGTTGATAAATATTTGTTGTCTAAATATGAGACCTTGTTTTCCAAATCATAACGTGTCCATAAAGATCGCATTACATTTAGTTAATGCAAGGCTCAGAAACTTAATATTTTGCCCATAGAATAAAAACGAAAACTTGATAGCCAGTAGCACTTGGTAATCTCTGTTACATTTCTGTAACCAAATGCGCTAATAGAGTGTGGTAATTTATAGTGCAAAGCCACGTTTTAGCTCATTTAAGTACCGTTCTTTCAATGTGCAAGTGCAAAACACAATGAAGTAATGAACGCCTGTTTTTATTGCCGTACATTTTTCATTTCCCTATCATCAACACGAATCTTTTCTGCCAAAGTTCAACTCGGTTCAGTAAATTGTATTTTGGGTTTGAGATTGATTATATTTAAATTTAATTACAGTGGCTTTTCCACCTAAACACATACATAAATATATCACTTTCATTACCAGTCGTTCCGGACTGATGCAGTTAATCAAAGATTCTAATAATTAATATCGTTTCAAATTCATTCGATTTGCATTTATTTTATAATTACTTCTACGTGATGCAGTTTCATTTAAAGTAGTTGAATATTGATTGAAGTTTCAGAGCGTTTATCAATTTTTAATCTAAGCAACAACTTAATTAACCGAATAATCGTTTGAAACCTGGGCAGTCTTCAGGGCGTTTTGGCAGCAGCAACCACCTCTGAAGATGCAAGATAGTTGGCTTGTGAAACGTTAGGACGAAACTCCAAACAGTATATTGTTTAAACATATAAGTCAAGAACACGGGGAAATCGATTAGTTGCACATCAACACCCATTGAGATATAATTGATAAGCTTATTTTTGATTAACTTTTGCTTAATTTCCGCTCGTCTATTCAGTTGGTGAAGGTTGCAAGTGGGGACCAAATTAAAAATTAAATTAGCGCCAATGAGATGGAAAACCTATCGGTTTCCGAACGTTAATTGAAATCCAGCAAACTAAAACAAAAATAATACTGTAAACGCTTAAATTGTGCCCTGCCGGTTTTAGGCCCTTAAGTACCAATAAATTTCAATAACACCATTGCTTCGAACCCTAAGTGGCTTAATTTGTACGCATATAAATTCTATTTAAATGAATGTTTAGGTGTAATATTCCCAGTGTCAACAGACGAATCTTCCGTTACAAGGAACTGGAATTTAATGGTCAGTTTTTATCATCTTTTGGGGCTTTGATCAAGCAAGTTTCTATGCAGTATAAAAAATCCGCAGAAAATTGTTAGGTGTAAATAGTTGCACGTGAATGAGGTGATACTTCAGCCAACCGACAACTATTGGCAATGTTTTCGTACAATGCAAATTCGATTATTTAATGGGCATATTAAGTGGACAATGCAGTTATTATTGCTTCGCTCTTTTGTCTGTATTTGTCTAGTGAAAGAAAACCAAACCAACGAAATTCGGTCACGTATCGTATTCGTTTTGCTTCCGAATATGGCAGGAAAAACCCGCTAAACCTGCGTTTGTTTTGGTGTTTGGTCGTACGTTACTAAAATCAGTTCCTGCAATTTTTATTAATCAACTGATCAGAGCGTAACCAGGATTTATTCGGCCGTTAAAATCTAGCTGGATAGTAAATACGTATTTAAATTAGAGAAAATTGCGCTCGAAACAGCCAGTTTTTGACCGTTTACTTCACTATTTCTTTTAGAGACGAGTCAGTTCGATGAAAGAAAAGATTCGAATGAAATTTTCGCTGATTATGGCTATGAGTGTCTTTAAGAATATTTCCAAATTTTGCTTTTCCACTGTACATTTACTATACATACTTTGATTAAAGTTCCAAGTGCTTCAATTTCTATTTTTGTCAAAACAAAGCGGAAAATACAGACATTTGCAAAAATCCACTTTGGATAGGTAAAGCTGGAAAATGCAACATTTTTCGATAGAAGAAGAAGATATTTTCCGAAAATCTTTAAGTTGCTGCAAGTCTGACTGAAAATCCGAGTTACACCGCTGTTAGAGGAGTCTCTTCTTCAATAGAGCAAATGAAGCAAAAGCAAAAAGGTATGTTGCAAATTTTCATAAAGTGAAAAATTGATGTCAGAGAACTTTAAAGCTCAGTAAATTTGCTGAATAACTTTTAATATTCCTTGACCACAAAACCATAGCTATGAAACCGAAATCTGAAAAAATCCAACTTTCTTAACTGAAAATTTCTCAATATTCGCTTTTATTTTCCATTTACTTTGCAATATTATGTGTTACATCGGTTTTTTTAATTGAATTTAGTTTAAAAACTAACCAACTGAATATCCTTCGAAACGTAGATATTTGAACAGATCAAATATTTGAACGGTTTTATGTCCACATACCTACATGAAGGTCCGAAACCTTCCAGTTATCACCGCATTTTAACACCAGTTAATACAAATACGCCTGTATTTATTTATTTATTGCATTGGTTGGGCATTTCGATCAAGAAAAAATGTTGCAAAGCTGACAAAACCCTTAACTTTACCTATGAACAATCCCCTTCAATAAATCCTTGCAACAAACTGAGTTGCGTGTTTTCGCTTCACTTTCACTTGAAAAAAGTGAGTTATTTTCCAAGAAAATCAACCCGACTTTTCCTGATAAATCACGATTAAACACTGATTTTTGCGGTTTGGTTTTCCAAACGAACGCGTGATTAATCGTACCCAAAAGAAGTGTAACGCAGATCCGTCGTACCGATAGCGTTCAATGTTCTGACTGTTTCGGAATCGCGGCCGAACTTGGAGCCTGGTACTCCGGTACTTTGGGTCTTCAGCCCCACCTAAATTGCATCATTTTAAGGAAAATAACACCTATCAGGGAGTTGCTTCTTCCAGGCCTCAGTGGCTGATAACAAATCGGCTCTGATTATATAAACTGGCCGACCAATTTTCAACTTCATCGTTTCCGCACTTCCGACAAGGTGAGAAACACAATCGTGTGGGCGCTTTTACTCTTTATCCTCCGGTCTTTTACGTCCTGGAGATTTATGGAGTAAAGAAGGGCCCCTTATACGGTTTTTTCGTCAGAGAAAAATACCGGTGTCACAAGGGCTAAATGACAAATAGTGCTCGACTTTGGCTAACGAGTTTCTGAACTTGCTGGCACATATTAAGAATGCTCTCCTCCGGCGGTCTCATTTGGGGAATTGCAAAAGTTGCATAGACCTAGAGACTTTAGAGCTTGCACAGTAGGGGGTCCCAAAATTGACCAAATCAATCTAAAATAAGACAAAAAGTTCATATAAACATTAGTCTGCAAACCCTTTTTTGTGCCGATGTTAAGTCTTTTTCAGCCACAGAAGTTTTAATTTCCCGTTTTTAGTTGCGCTTGATTTTAAACCATGTTAATTTCAACTCGGTTTGGTTTTGTTGCATTTTCTGCTGGCAATATTTTATGTTGCTCTATTATTATAAGTTCCATCATTATTCATTATTCAAGTCATATCATCATGAAACAACGGGAAAACGACGACAGATACAAAAACAACGAAAAGAACAGAAACATCTCCAAATTAAATAGAGAATTTTAAAAAATGAGCGACGCTGCAAAAAAAAGTTGGGTGAGTAAAAGTAAAGTTGGCAACGCAAGAAATTTGCTCGACTCAAACATTCACTAAATAGCTTATTGGCAAATGCGGCTAAGGATTTCTTCCTAAAGTTTCGCAAGCTTTCGAAAGAATCGCCTCTTGCATTTGCAAAACGTCACAAAGTAATCACAGCTTTAAAACTCTCAAACCTCCCAGTTTCATTTTGAGTTAACTTTGGTGAAATTTTCCCAAAGAATCATTTTATCCAGAGGCTCTCGTTCTCAGCGCTCAGTGGCTTGCTTCCACCATAATCCCTTTATTCTTTATTAGGGCATTAGAGACTGGATATTATAACCGAATGATATGGCTTTGTGGTGGTTCTTATTTTATCAAGACAAATCGGGCGCAGCTGAAGGAATCCAGGTGGAAAACCCGGAGCTAATAAGAATTTGATTGGTTTTTCTGGAGGAGGAGAAATGTTGATCGCTTTGACTCAATTGAGCGTGAAACAAACATAAAAATACTTTATTTCTTGTCCATCTACAGGAAAGTAAAACAAAAACCGCCTCTAATAATTTGATTTAGCTATATTCTCCCTCACTCCTTCCGCCTTGAAACTAGAGCCATTCAATTTGCAGCTGAAACTCGAGCTGAAAAACGAGTGACAGGACGCACAGGAGAAAAACTAATTCAAACCTTTCCCGAATACTGATGTAGTGAATTGCAGGAGTTTTCCGGATCTCCCCTGTCTTCCAAAGCACCTGGAACAATACGCGCTACGCCCTATTAATATCAATGAGAAGACAACAAAACAGCCTCCCGCTCATTCAAGACTTGATATATTGGGGAGGAATGTGTGTAAACAGATAATAGATGAATTTTTCCCGAATCATAAATGTGAAATAATGGGGAAAACGCCAAAGAAAACTTACCATTTGTGTGGGCGATTTGGGCTTCCTATTGATATCGGCGATTTTCTGGGATGCTGAAAATTACAAAACCAATTTAAAATTGCAAATGCATGTTTAAGGCCGTAGCATTAAATAGACTCAATTAGGCCGATTAAATTAGCATGGCATTAATTTTGCAATTTGTACATGCAAAACACTCCATCCCATGAAAGAAGACATGAATAACCATTCATGTAGGCAGTGCCAAGTTGCAAAACTCTACTCCCACTCCATACGAGAAACAATGGTTTTCCAAGTTTACGAGTGCATATGCGACACTTTTCCGAATTTATTTTTGCTGATTTGGATGCAAACTTTGAGAATTACGAGTCAGTCGAGCGTAGACTAAACTAGCAAACTTTTGAATAACAAGGCCGTATTATACGAATGGATGTGTAAACCCATACCCAACGGAGTCACTTTACACCCATTCAACTTGTAAGTTCATTAAAACTTTTGCCCACACATTTCACTGCTCGAAGTTTAAACTTTAGTCCGAAATCTAAGTAAATTTGGAAAATGTGATTCCAATTTATTGATAAGAAGTTTTGTAGATTTAGAAGGAACAGGAATTAATTCCTAACCAGGATTTTTTATTGAACTCACAACCCGATTTTGATGTGAATAAATCAATCATGTTTTGCCCACTTTCAAAAATCGCTTGTTCTCACCAATTCCTCCAAATTTCCTTTGTAAATTTCGCAAAAAAAGCCCAGTTTGAATCTGGAAAGTTGCTGAATCTGTGTTTCATCCAATATCGAAACTTAACAGGCCAAAGCCTAGTTTGGACTGTTTTTTAGACTTTGTTCCTGGACTAAAAGACGTGGTTCCTAACATGCATTGTCTAAGCAGAACGCCCATTTTAATGTTAATTTCTCTGGTTTATAGTGTCGAGACGTTGGTTCAAAAGTATTCCGAGAAGAAAATGACTCCCTAACAAAGTAGGCAGAGATGCACAATGTTGCGTTCAAATAATCAGCAAATGCTAGGATGGATTTATTCCAGCAGATATTCAAGATACTCAATGGAAATGTTTTCCTTTTACATAGATAACATTCAGGGAATATTTATTAAGAGTCCACTTTGATTAGTGGATTTTGCCTTATCTTTTAGCAAATTGATAAGATCATATCTTTATAATTTTCTTTTAACATGGATTTCAAATATTTGCTTTGCAAAAATTGGAAAGTGGAAAATTTTCGCTTAGGAACCGAACACAGATCCAAAAAAAGCCCGTGAAGCTTTAGTCATATGTGTAATTCAGATAATAATATCTAGTCAGAGAATTTACTTTTCGAAAACTTTGAAAAAATGTAGAAGTCAGTAAACAATTATCAGTATGAAAAAAAACCAATTTCGGGACAGCACAATTATAAATTTACCTGATAATTGATGTGGAAAAACTTGTTCTTTCTAAAGGTTTAAACTTTTCCATTGCATCAAAAACAATTCAAAGCTTGACTTCATTTCTAGAGTCAAGGAGACAACTGAAAACTGATCAGAAAAACAGCAGAAAGAATTTCGCATAACATCAAAAATAATTTTGCAAAATATTTCCAAATTAAACGAAACATAAAAAATGACGATTAAAAACAAATTGATCAACAAATTAATTCAACTGAAGGAAGTTATCCAAAATTAAACAGACAAATTTACAACAATCTCAAAAAATGTAAACAGTAATTCACAGATTACGACAGATCGACATTAACAAACGAAACTTTTAATTAATTTTGCGATTTGGGTCAAAGTCAACCTTTTACCTTTGTAAAAACCGAGAACTCTGGCAAATTTTTACAGATTTGTATTTTTCACTTAGTCTTGTTGAATAATTTATCAATACACTATTTTTAAGGAACGTTTTGACAAAAATCGCGGAAGTACTTTCGAAACGCCCAGGGAAACTTTTGCTTGCTTACTAATTGAAATTTTCTCTAGGTAATAGTTCTTGATTTCTTTTGAAGGTTTTGTTCGTTGCTGTGAGCTCTTATTTCCCACTCTTTTTCATAATTTTTCAATTAATTATTCAATATTGGTAATAATTTATCAGTCTGAAATAAACGGCTTGAACAAGTTCTGTCGTTTTTGAAATCCAAAATTTTTGAGGCAAAATGCGCTTTCATAGGCACATGCAAAGGCCCCAGCCCTAGGAGAGTCTTTATGGCTGTGGGCATGTAGTGTGCTTCCCTAGAAAGATTTTTTTAATAAAAGCAATGTTTTATGGGGAACCCACAAATTTTATAAGAATTCACGCTCATGCTCAAACCTACTGTATTTTCTCGAGAGATTACAGCCTTCACAGATACTTGATATGAGTGCTTTTTCATTGAAATTGATATATATATTGATAGCAAGAGAAACCTTTAAAAGCCACGCTTATCCATTCCGCTGTTGATAAGAGAGACAATAGTTTACCGTTAACACCCCCCAAAAATCGTTGCCATTCAAAAATGCTGCTTTACTCCCTAATTTTGTTTTTCATGCTGACGGCAAAGAATGGAGCTTTTGCTACAGAAACATTTGTAACTTTTCAGGTAAGTACTCGAACTTGTTATCGCCAGCAAATAGTAGAACGTTGCAATTTGCACCTTTCTAGTGTCAATATCTGTTTACTCTGCGCTCTGATAGCTCGCCACCTTCAATAAATAACAAGTTTTGTATGTAAAAGTATCTAAGTAACTGATTTTCTTCGGGTGGGGCTGTAGAATAATATTCGCCAACTAAAAAACACTTTGCTTCACAGCAAAAATATGGCAAGGTGTATCAAAACGACTCCGAGTTGAGCGTGCGGGAGGAGATTTTTAAGGAGAACCTAGCGAAAATTGAGGAACACAACAAGCAGTTCCAACAGAACTTTGTTTCTTACGAACTGGGCCTTAATCAGTTCAGTGATTTAACTGAGGCAGAGTTCCAGGCTCTTTTAACAATGTCGCCCTTAAGCGACCAACTAACTAAGCAAATGGAAAAGTACAACAGCGAATTTGATATTAAAACCGCACCAGTTTCGGTTAACTGGGCAGAGAAGGGCGTAGTTACACCGGTAAAGAACCAAGGAAACTGCGGTTCATGCTGGACGTTTACTACGGTAAGTTTCACAGTATTTGGAAAAAATTGGACTAATTTCGACTGTTCTTAATGCAGACAGGCACGATAGAAAGCCGATTGGCCCTCAAAACTGGATCTTTGGTTTCCTTAAGTGAGCAACAGCTTCTGGACTGTAATCGCGTCAACGCAGGATGCGATGGAGGTGTTCTAGCTTACGCATTACAGTATGTTGAAAGTGCTGGACTTACAACTGAAGACGAATATCCTTACAAAGCGTGGAACGGAACATGTAATTCAACTCATAAACCAGTTGCAGCATATACTAAAGGGTATACCTTGATATATACTCGCTCGGAAAGCGATCTTATGAAGGCAGTAGCTGAAGGTAAATATGGATCATCGAACTGAAATTCTTGCTGCCTCTTACCAGAAATCTGTGCAAGTACGGTGTTATTCATTATAAATGAACCCTTTATACTTTGTTATTTTGAAAGATGTAGTGGTGATTTTTTTGCCCGCTCAGGGGAACCTTTGAGAGTTCTGATAAATGATCAATTTTTTTGGAGTTTTCTGCATCTTAGATTTGCCTAATGTGGACGCGGCCAAATTATTTGAAATTGCAGATTTCAAATAACGGGCAATGTACCTTCTAACTGCTGACGAATTTATAACTCTTTATTTTCATGATTTTTCGTTCTTAGGTAATGTTCCCTTCTTTTGCTTGAATGTGGTTTCAGTAGACACTTTATGGTATATTCGAGCAAAAGTAGTTAAACTGGGAATTCTCCTTTCTTCTTCAAATTTTCTTTAATATTCTCGCTCAGCTCGTCTTCAGTTGTATTCAGTTTTAACATACAGGCTGTCTGCAAAATGTCGGTGCTTGTCTTTGTAGATATGTTCAATGAAAAACGGTCTTTCTATAGAAGTCTCTACGAGTATTTATTCTAGAGATATTTTAAGCTTAAATTGCATTTTCAATGATTAACGAGGTATTAAACTGTACGAATAATTACTTCACTGGAGATGCGGTGAAAAATAAACTTTAAATATCTTGAGAAATAATCAAGGGCGGATCCAGGGGGGGTCAAGACCCCCCCATTCAATTCTCTATTACTATAATTTCGCTTTCTGGGTCAAAACTACTCGAATTTCCTCACTCACGTTGTTACGACTGAATCGAGTTTTCAATTCTCTATCCAACGATGA